TCTCTCCCTCCCCTCCCCACCATCACCCCTCATTTTAACTCTCTCGTTCTCAATATTTAGCCTTCTGGTTTTTTAGTAGGGCTGTCCGCCAGTTTGTCCGTGTGTCTATAAATGTCTCACCCACCCACACTCATTCTTTCTCTCCCCCACCTCTCTCTCCTTCTCTCTCTCTCATTCTCTCTCATTCCCACTCTCTCCTCTCTCTCTCTCTCTCTCTCTCTCTCTCTCTCTCTCTCTCTTTCTCTCTCTCTCTCCCTCTCTCTCTCTTTCTCTCTCTCTCTCTCTCTCTCTCTCTCCCCCCCCTCTCTCTCTCTCTGTCTCTCTCTCTCACCTCTCCCTCTTTTCTTTTCCAATTTCTCACTCGTACACGCACACTAACACCTATAAACAAACACGCTTCCACCCCACCACTCGAAAAAACCTAAACCAAACAAAACAAAACAACAAAAACCTCAACAAACAAGACAAATAAAGTAGCAGCATCATAAGGAAACGATTTTACAAAAATAGGGCATTGACGTCATTTCATGCTAATGAATGCGCAGTTTAATAAATCTTGCTAATGAACATGATCAAACTAACAAAGCCGATGAGATGCATTATTTTGTGTCAAAATATGGACCGTATAATGAACAGAAAATCAAACAGAAGGGAAAGATAATGTGGTATTGTGGGTGGAGATCAGCCTAATCCTGTCATCAGAAATTAGGACTGGATCTACGTGTTTTAAATCACGACTTTAATCTTTTTGAGTCATGATATCATTATTGTTAATAAAGACAATTTCAACGAAGAGCGGCCCAATTTGAAATAAAAAACTAATTTTAAAAAGAAAAGCGAACACACACAGCATAATAATAATAATATAACAATAACTATACGTAAAGAAAAACATTTCATTAGACATATTTCCATCAATACATCATCATCATCATCATCCATGAAAAGGAGGATGCCAAACATTATTAATAATATGTTTGAATGCCCAGGAACAATGGCAACTCGAATGAGGTGCCTCTGAGTACAGTCCATGCCGGCTTTAAGCACGGTCGTCGGGAGAAAGCTTAAGCGTGCTTAAAGCCGAAGCGTGCTTGAGTGCGAAGTAGACATAATCCAGAGATTTTCATGTAGAAAATTTCCAGTGCTATTTCCCTTTGTTTGTAAGTAGGCCTATAGCGGTCCCGAAAGTGTGCACTGTTATTCAGACACCCGCCACGGTAGTTTTTGTTTGCTTGTTTGTTTTTGTTTTGTGGTCGAATGGGAAATTAAAACTTAATTTAGACGGCCAGTCACGATACAGCACAGTAGGCCTACACACTGCCTGTGCGTACCACTGCCCGCTGTGCCACTCATACCACCGCCTTCATCCCACCTCGCGCGTGATACACAATCAGGATTAATGGATAGCGAGGGTCAAAGGTGAAATCGCAGCCAGCCTCCCTTTCTCGTCTCCCCGACTCTCTTTTTTTTTTTTTTTGGTCGTGTGTAGCTTTGCCCTAGGCCTAAGCTAGATCCTATGTCCGCGCGCGCGCCTGTGTGCATCTGCCCTCCTCTCCGCCCGTGTGAGTGTGTGTCTCCATCACTTGCGTTCTTTGTGTTTCTCTTGACACACTCCACTGCTGCGGTGTAGACTGTGTTCGAACTTCGACGGGTCATCATGAAAATATTGACTGTTTTGTAAATGAAGCGTGCTTGAAGCCGAAGTTACCGTGCTTAAAGGCGTGTAATTTATATAGCAAAAATTCGGTAAGAGCCGTTTAGCTTGCTTGCTTAAAGCCGGCACGGACTGTATAACGACAATGGAACCGAAAAAGAGCCTCGATCTCGCAGGCGCATTAAGAACCCCATTATGTAGGGTCTGTAACATTATCATTTTATATTATTATACGATTACTACTTACCCTCGACTTCCACGAAAGCGCGATGTGAGTCATAGGGCACCGAGCGAGTCACCGTCTCCTCCATGATGATAGCGAAACTGTAAACATCTCCTTTTTTGGATCCTCCGACAATCTCGCCAATACCTAGGTGCTCAGGTGCCACCCACAATAATTCTGGAGGGAAACATAGATTGTAAATCAATACACCATGCATCATCAAGGAAAATTATTGTTGTACTGGGCAAAAAAAAAATACATGTAACTGAGGTACGTTTGGAAGCGTTGCTCTACGCCTACGCTACTGATGAGTGCTAACCTGATGATGGATTTGTAAACCTGGAACAAATAGCTGATGTAAAGTCCATCATGCAACATTAGTGTAGGCTGAATTGTCCATGGACAATGAAAAAGAAGTGTTCGAAGATCGATATAACATTTTCTGCACCACTTTATTTCCTTTCACTTCATCTGAGAAAATTCTTTTTCCCCACTCATTTTTTGGATGACTCATTTTCTAAAATAAACACCTTTATTCTATGTCATTTTCAATAGCAGCCCAGCGTTATTTCTCTGTAAAGAAAGCCTCTTTAAAAGACACATGATATTCCCCATCTTTATGATCACCCTAATAAGGCTGAAACTTGATGCAGTTGAGAGAGAGAGAGAGAGAGAGAGAGAGAGAGAGAGAGAGAGAGAGAGAGAGAGAGTGAGAGAGAGAGAGTGGGGGTGAGAGAGATAGAGAGAGATTGAGAGATATAAAGAGATTGAGAGAAAGAGAGAGAGATTGGGGGGGGGGGGGGTTGTAGAGGAGAAAGAGAAACACTCTTAACAGAGGGGATAGAGTGTTCCATGCTCCATACAAAAACAAAAGGCGGTCTTCACAAAAATTAATTTTAAAAAACCCAACCCTGCCCCCCCCCAAAAAAAAATTTTTTAAAAGAAAAATCTATAAAAATAAACTAACTCTGAATATCAGAGAACGTTTTTTCCTCTGAATACAAGTCGCACTGATCTGGTTTCCGGAAGCTGGGCAGTCCAAAGTCCGTGATTTTCACGTTGAACTTGCCGTCCACCACACAGTTAGCGGACGTGAGATGGCCGTGGTGTCCTAGGTCTGACTGGTGGATGTAGATCATGCCCTGGGGAGAGGGGAACCCAAAGGAAAAACAAACAGTTAACAAATAAACGAAAAAGAAAAGAAAAGGGAAAGGAAACCCGAACAAGAAATATCCCCCACCCAAACCCCCCCCCACACACAAACAAACAAAAACAATCCCTCTTCGAAAATCAATGTTTCTGAAATTAAAAAATAAAATAAAATAAAATAAATAAATAAATAAATAAATAAATGATTAAATAAATAAATTAATAAGTACATAAATAAGTACATACATGGTAAATAGATAAATAAATCGATAAGCCGATAAATATATAAAATAAATAGATAAATAGACAAATAAATAAAAGAAATCGATAAATAAGTAAATAATATGTACCCCCCATGTAGGTAACCAAACTGACCTTCAGAATATCCCTCAGAAGAGCGACCTTGAAGGCCCAGTCCAGCTTGAGGGTGTCCGTGAGTAGCACGTCCTGCAGACTGCCCTTCTTACAGTACTCATACAGCAGGCACACCTTACCAGGCTCCGTGCACGCGCCGATGAACTGGGCCAGGTTTTCGTGACGTAAGCCACGCACCTGGGGAGAAAGAGAGCTTTGTAGCTATGTCCAGGATGAGGGGGCTAAAGTTAAAAGAAATATAATTCATTTTACAATAATATAAAGAACATGGTTCTAATAGTGATTGTCCTACTCCCTCCTTTTCTCTCTCTCTCTCTCTCTCTCTCTCTCTCTCTCTCTCTCTCTCTCTCTCTCTCTCTCTCTATTTATCTCTATTTATCTCTTCTCTCTCTATCTCTTTTCTCTCTCTATCTCTCTCTCTCTCATTTTCTCTCTTTCTCTTCCCATCCCCTTACCTCTACAGTTTTACTAACATTACATAGAAAACTAGTGTGTTGGCTCATTCTTTCCTATCGACCATCTATCGCACTGATTTCTCATTTTTATGTGTTTGCTGCTCTCTTGTAGCACGTCTAATCTTCGGCACTTATATTATGACTTAATTGGTTTGCAAATGCCGCAAAACTTACTAAACAAAAAAAAAAAGAAAAGAAGGATTCTCAATTTCACAATGACTAGCTTACCATCTTCAGCTCCAGCAACACCGCTCTATTCACGTCAATCTTGGAGCGCTGTACCCGGCGAGCAGCCACTGTACTACCCTGGGATAGATAGATAGATAGATAGATAGATAGATAGATAGATAGATAGATAGATAGATCGATAGATAAATGAACCTTATTTGGCAAGAGATGGAAACGTGTAACATCCTCTCTTGACAATTTGGGTTGTAAAGGGGGCGTGCTGCGTTGGCCCAACCAAAGGCATGTCACTATACCACTAAAGCTTGGTCAATTTTTTTCTTAAAAGAAATAAATCTTACATGTACCTTAATATTTGTAATATAATGTAAGTAATATACATGTTACCGTGTGTAACCTTTAAAAGAAACCTTGACATACCTTGTAGGAGCCGACGAGAGTGAAATTCTGGCTGGCTTCTGGCACCATAGAGGTCGTGTCACTATCTTTCTGTATGTGAAGTACAGAGACAGTAGATGCGAACGCTTGATTTTGAAAATTTTTTTGGTATGTTTTCGTGATCGTGTTGAAGGCATAAACATGTCGATGTGCTATCGAATCACTCCCCCCCCCCCCAAAAAAAAAAAACAAGACAAAAAAAAACAACAACAAAACAACCAAAAACATAAAAAAAACATAAAAAACAAACAAGCAAACAAACAAACTACAAACAAACCCAAAACATTAGTTTACAGAGCTGTCTTTATTTTTACTCCCGAAGAAGCACTCAAGGCCACCGGTTTGAGCTGTTTTAATAAACAATAATATTTCCTTTCTGTTGGTTGACTAAGATTATTCAAGACTTTCCTTCCCTACTTTGTTTTTTCTGCAATGCCTTTGCTGCTACTGCTGCTGCTGCTGTTGCTGCTGCTGTTGCTGCTGCTGCTGCTGCTGCTGCTGCTGCTGCTGCTGCTGCTGTGGCTGATAATGGTGATGATGATGATAATGATGATGATGATGATGACGATGATGATGATGATGATGATGATGATGATGATACAAACATTTTATTATAAGTTGTGTTCTTGTTTTTTGTTTGGTTTTACTACCACACCATAATCACACAATCATAACATTTTACACTGCAACACAACTGTTTATTCGATTCGAGATGACTTTGTTGGAGTCTTTTTGGAGCGTGTTAGCAGGTGCTGTTTTTACCGCTGTCATAATGTGTATATTATTATTGTCAATGTATGGCTGAGAAAGTTCTTTCTTTTGCGGTTGAAAAAGTTTTCTGGTTTAAAGGATAATGAAATGCTTTTCTTGTTTGTGTATGCATGTGAGGTTTTCTTTTCAGTAATTATATCACCTATATAAAGTGCACAGAGCTTATACTTGTACGGGATAAAGCAGTATATAAATGGCTTCTATTGTTTTTACCATAATTATTATTACATTCACGATTATTATTAGTAGTATATTATTATTATTATTATTATTATTATTATTATTATTATTATTATTATTATTATTATTATTATTATCATTATTATTATTGTTATGTTATGGTAATAATAATAACTGTTATTATTATTGTTGTTGTGTTGTTGTTGTTATTGTTGTTGTTGTCGCTGTTGCTGTTGCTGTTGCTGTTGTTGTTGCTGTTGTTGTTGTTATTGTTGCTGATGTTGTCCTTAATGTGTGTGAGTGGTCAATACAAGAATGTTACAAACCAGAGAAAAGCCGCTAAGCTTGGCGCTGTTGGCGATTTGATGGCGGAACTTAATCTGGTCATAATCCACGCGCCACGAGCTACTGGTCAAGTCCCGCTCCCACATCACACGTCTGTACATATATTAGATGGGAATAATAATGATAAGTAATGAGAGTGAGAGAGAGAGAGAGAGAGAGA